CCACCCGTAACGCGCTGCACACTATTTTATTCCCCGGGCCGCCCCGGGCCGCCACAGCCAGACACACAGATCTTCGATAACAAACCTCTGCTCAGCCGCAGTTCTTTTGCTATACAACGGGGCGAGCGGCAGCCGCAGCAGCAGCCGCAGCAGCAGCTTTGTCGGCGTAAGGTTGTCCTCGGGGGCCGCGGTGTGCCCGGCCATGGCCCGGTAAGGGGAGGGCAGCGGGGGGCGGCGGGGGAGCGAGGCGGGAGATAAAATGTGCACCCCGTTCTTGTCGTGGCTCCGGGCCGCCCCCGCCCCGCCCAGCTCTGCCTCCGTCCCTCCTGGTCCAGGCCCCGCTCTCCCCCCGGGGAAGAGACGCGGTCCCCATAGCGCCTCCGCCACGCCAGCTCGCCCGAACGAATCACAAGGCAGCAGCAGCAGACAAAGTTGTGCAAACTTTCCACGCATATTTACCACACGCTTCTGACTGGTGGCTCGGACAATGCTTCCCATGGGGAGGGCCAGGGTGGTCCGCACCCGGAGGAAGAGGCTCGCATTTTTATCGGGAAGAGATGCCAAACGAGGACGTGGCGCTGCGAAAGTCGGCGAGGTGGGGGGAGCGAGGGGGAGATCCCCTCGCTCCCTGGAAAGTAGACAGCACGCGTTCACGTTACTGCATGGAACAAGGCGCTGCGGCCATGCGCATGCATCGGCCACGCCCATGTCAACCAGGGAAGTCACTCTCATAAAAAATTGTTCGCGCTCAAGCAACCTCGACCAAATTATAAGTTTGAGCGTAGAGCTGTCATTACTATTTTTTTTAAAAAGTTAAGCTTGACTTTTTGAATTGGTTTTCCATTAAACTTGGACAGTAATTGTCTATCGATACGAATTTTGACACTAGACATAAACCAATGACGGCAACACTCACCTGGCATTTCGGGAACATCTCGGGCGGCCGCGTCACCTTCCAGCCGAGCAGCGGCGGGATGCAGATGAGCCCGGACATTATCCAGACGAGGGTGATCATGACGGCGGCGCGGAACGGCGTCCGCTTCTTGAGGTAGTCCACGGCCTGCGTGATGCTCCAGTAGCGGTCCAGCGAGATGAGGCACAGGTTCATGATGGAGGCGGTGCACAGCAGCACGTCCATGGCCGAGTGGATGTCGCACCACCAGTTGCCAAACACCCAGTAGCCCATGAGCTCGTTGGCCAGCGAGAAGGGCATGATGATGAGGCCGAGGAAGAAGTCGGCCACGGCGAGCGACGCGATGAACCAGTTCTGGATGTTCTTGAGCGCCTTCTCGGTGGCGATGGCGATGATGACGAGCATGTTGCCGACCACGACCACGATCATGAGGAGGGTGACGACGAGCGACGCCAGCACGATGTGCAGCAGCGAGTACCCGCTCGGGAACAGCGAGTACTCGATGGCCGTGAGGTTGCCGTCAGTGCCGTTGAGGCTCCAGTTGGCGGCCGAGTAGGAGGCGCCCGTGCTGAGGTAGGCGAGGCCCGAAGACGAGCCGCCCGAGGACGCGCCGCCAAGCAGCGAGTAGCCGAAGTTGGCGAGCGAGGACGAGTCGTTGGCGCCGAGGCCGCCGAGGCCACCAACGAGCACATAGTCGTGGTCGAGTCGGAAGAGAACGTCCGACTGAGAGAGCGAGGACTCGTTGGCCTCCAGGCCATCCTGGACGTCCAGGAAGTCGTCCAGGTCCATGGTTTCACGACGTCGTCAGCACGAGAGCGTCCCAGTCCGGAGCGCGTCCCGCGGCGTGGCGAGGCGTAGGCGGCGTCGGCGTGCTGGTGACCCCGCACCCCCCCGCGCGCGCCCGCCGCCAGGCCCCGGCGAGGGCCACGGGGAGCCCCTCTAGGGGTGGCCCCGGCGAGTTGGGTGTCATGGGGTGCGCGGCCTGCCCCTGCTCAGAGCGGGCCGCGGGGCCGCCGGGGCCGCCTGTCAAAGGGATGGGCAGACATGTCGCTGACGCGTCGTGTTTCTATGACGTCACTACCCTCCTCCCTCACGCGAAAGATTTAACGGGATGGGTACGGGGTGAACGTGTACAAATCTAATAGTGAAGGTTGGAAGACTTGGACGAGGGGCGCTCAGGGGAGAGGGTGGGGGTGGGGCGGGTGAGGAGGTATTCTATCGCACAATACCCGTACGGACCGAGATGTTGCTCACGAATTACGAGGAAAGGCAACACAGAAACCTCAAACGGAACGGTAAAGAAGAAACGGAACCTTCTGTTAAGTTAAGAGTAATGAGATATACGTGAATAATAACCGACGATCGGGCGCAGGATTGTTATATGGATTAAATTAGTTGATCGAATAAGAATATATGAAGAGTTAAAATCGATTGGGAAAGAATTAAATTACATATACTTAATAGACGAT